CCAGATAGGGCGTAACGGGCCTTGGGTTAGCGGGCTGTAAATGAGCTATATGCGAACAGGCCGTTAACAGGCTTTCCATGGGCCGGCCCGTCACCTTTTGACCAAGTCAAACGGGCCGGCCTTTTCACATGAATGGGCCTCTGTTGGGCCGCGCCACGTGTCGACGTATCATAGGCGCCTTCTGTCCAATGAGTGGATGACATTTGTCTCAACAATGAGCCGACACGTGTTTCCTCCAGCCAATGATCATTTTACACGTGGAAAATCCCCATTGGTCGGTGCTGTTAACGGGTTATCGGATCCAAAACCCGACCCGATAGCTTAACGGCGTTCCGTTACGGTGGATGCCACGTGTCGGTCACCCTTGACGAAAGCACTTCTGTGACGCGCGATTTATCGTCATGGAAGTGGACACTTCCATGATGATAATTTTGGTAATGTCATGGAACACTTCTACGACAGCACAGGTATGACTATCTTGATTCTGTCATAAATTTGTCATGGATGTACATGCATGACAAAAAACGCGACCTACTGTGACAAACACGTATCATCACGGAAGTGTATTTTTTTGTAGTGTATGCCTTACGTTTGTGGCCACTACTACGAATCAGCCGGATGATTTCTTATTGAAATCATCCGTCTGTTAAGTCGTTCGATCTGCGTCCTGGTGCCGTTCGATGACAGCAACGCTATGCCGGTAGCGCAGCATGACAGCTTTCAACGTGGTGCCATTACAGCCCAATGCGGTGTTCCAACGTAGCACTAACGCGTCCGGTGAGCTCTAGGGCTTCATTGCAGCCCTGACGGAGCGCCAACGCAACACCGACGCTCCGGCGAAGCTCCATTGCAACTCCGGCGGAGCTCCAACGTGGCATCAACGGCTCCGGCGAAGCTCCATTGCAACTCCGGTGGGGCTTCAAGGCAGCACAGACGCGTCCGGTGAAGCTCCATTGCAACCTCGATGAGGTTTCATTGCAACTCCGTCGGTCCTCAGTGAAATTACATCACAACACCACGGTCCAACAACGCTTCATTGCAACTCCGCACGGTCCTGGCGATGTTGAATCTCGGCACCGCCGGTCCCCTATGATGCTACGTTGCAATTTCGGTGGCTTGTCGATGCTTCATCAAAAACCGGTGAGCTCTCGACCGCGACCCCTCACCACTCGCTTGAGCGCAGCAGAGCACCACCGGCCCTTTGCCGCGACGACGCCGACGGCCCGATGATGTGTTGCTCCTCTCCTCAGCCTCCTGATTGCAGCACCTGTGACGAGTAGCGACCCGCCTCCGACACCGTCGTCGTCTGCAGCTCCGGTGGCCACTACCACGCAGCCCCGCGGGATCTCGCGCCACCACCCACACTATGCGCACCATCGCTCCTCTCGCAGCTACGGCTCCTCGTCGAGCGGCAGCCATCGCAGCGCAGCGACGCCCCTTGTAGTAGCAGGAACTCGCCGATCGGGGGTGGGAAAGGTCAGGGGACAGAAGGGGAGGCGCTCAGGGAGAGAAGAGAGCAAGGTTGCAGGGGAGGAATGGGGAGTGAGGGTATCTGGTGTCGCAATCCAGAGGAAGAGGACGACTTGATCTAGGAAAAGAATAAGGTTGCAGGGCGGTGCATAGGTCCTACGCGTGTCGATCTCTCGAGGCAACTTGCATAAACGAGTAATCAGTTGGTTGAAATAGAACGTCTCCCTTGTTTTTTTTTTGCGTTTTCCTGTTCTGGTCAACCTAATTCACATGTATATTTTTCGTTTATGTGGGGTCATTCTTGCCCTGTTTGGATACTCTAACTTAGTTAGAGGTTAGAGTTAGATTCTAACCCTGAACTAACTCTGAACTAACTCTAACCAAAGAGATGTTTGGATGACAGGGTTAGATGGAGCGCGGATACGGCCAGTCGCCTTCACAAACGTTGTGAGAGGGAGGGAGGAATAGGACGAGAAGCTTCGAGGAAGTGGGGAGGGATCTGCTGCGGAGAGAGCGAGAGAAAAATGTGTTTTTTTAGTGCTCCGAAGAAGACTAACCCAAATAAGCACCTCTTGGATGGGTTAGATTTTTTGAATGAGTTAGATGCATCTAACCCAAACTAACCCTCCTGTTTGGATACTTTTAGGTTAGTTGAGTCCAAACAAACCCAAACTAACTCTAACCCATGGATCCAAACAGGGCCTAGGATTGGTAATGAATTTGGGGGTTCTCGGTTCAATGCAATTGTCCAAAAATGTCGTGGCTTTATCTCAAAGGTGTGTTGTGCAGGTTCAACGTAATTGTCTAAAAAACATTGTAGCTTATCCCAAAGATGTCTTGTGGAGTATATCTTTTGTTTGTGTGTGTTGACCTCTACTAGTTTTGTCGCTAGGAAATACTCGGTTCGTTCGAAAAAGTTTATCCCTCAAATGGATGTATCTATCACCAAGTTAATACTAGATACGTCCATTCAAGAAACAATCCTAGGATAAACTTTTTTTGAGAAAGAGAGTAGTAGAGTAGAAAGATCACTGACTCCCCTCAAGAAAAAGAAAAGAAAGATACTGAGAGTGAAGCACGTGAGCCCTCAGATAATAAACGACCACCAAAGAAACCGTTAACCGCTTCATTCAGCCAAAGAAGAGATTCAAAAAAGCTGGCTAAAACCTACCGTAGGACGAAGCATCTGGCAGGTTTATTCGTGCCGGCAACCTTGCTTCCGTCCTCGAGAGGGAAACACGTTGCCAGGGTGTTTAGGGCATCTCCAGTCGTTGGCCTTTCAGGAGGGACAAAAAATCGCCCCTGAGGCGCACCGGCGCTAAACCGCGCACTGGGGGCGTGATGCTTTCCAGTCGCGGCGCCCACGGTTAGTTAAAAAAGTCAAATACGGCGCAAAAACGACTCAAATTTAACGCAAACATCGGCGAGTTAGTTCAAACTTAAACATATTTTACAAAAAAAGAAAAAAACTACCGCGGGCTACCCCCGCCGTCTCCCTCGCCGCCCGCCTCGCCGCCCGCCCACGCGGTTCTACATGCCGAGGAGGCTGTAGAACCGCGTGTAGTCACCGTCGTCGTCGTCGTCGTCGCCGGCCCGGCCTCCGCCTCCGCCATCCCTGCTACATCCCTCCCCCGGTTGGCGCGGCGGGTTGGACGGTCCGGGGGCGGCGTCGGCGTCGTCGTCGTCGCTGTCGAGGACCACGACGCCGTGCTCGTCCTCGCGCCCACGCTTGCGGGCGGCGATCTCCTCCAGGGCCCGGCGCTGCCGGACCATCTCGTCGCGGAGGTAGTCGTCCCGCGCCCACCGCATGGCGTCCTCGTCGGAGAAGCCGCGCCGGGCTATCTCCTCGTACTCCGCAGGGAGGCCGGGCTTCGGCTTGGGCTCGACGAGGACGAAGCGGCCGGTGGGTGGAGAGGCGTTGGCGCCGATGCGGACGCCGGAGCTGCGGGTGCGCGCGCTGACCAGCGTGCCCTGGGGCTCCGGCTTGACGGGGCGGAGGCAGGGCGAGCAGCCGGACGAGGAGGAGGACCCCCCGGTCTCCATGCGCCTCGGGGTGCAGGAGCTTTCCCGGCGGCGTGAGAAGGAAGGGGGAGCGGGGTACTCGAGGCGCGGCGTGTTGCCGCCCTCGATGTACTTGAGGACGACCTCCAACGTGCGCCCGGGCACGCCCCACCACCGACGCCGGCCGGCGGCGTTGAGCCTGCCGGAGGGCACGACGCCGTTGGTGGCCTCGAGCTGCTGGGCGTGACGGCGGCGGAAGTAAGGGTCCCAGAGCGGGCTGTCGGTACATACCGTGGCCCCTCCCTCGCCGCACGCGGCAGGTTCTCGCGGATGCGTGCGATCTCCGCATGCCGCGCCGCGCCGGTGGGTACCGGGGGCACCGGCACGCCGCCCGCGCTGATCCTCCACGCCCCGGGCACCCGCATGTCCGGCGGGACCGGGTACTCGGCCTCGTAAAGGAGGCGAGCCTCGTCTTCATGAAGATGGCGGCGGCCGAAGCCGTTCGCCGCCGCGCCGTCGCGCCGTCGCCTGGGAAGCGCTCGGCCATGAGTGTGAACTGGAGACGGCGAAAGAGAGGATAGGAGAGGGAGGAACGACGACGGCGGGAGAGTGTGAGTCACCGAGTGCGCCGGGGCGCGTCATATATAGGTCGAGGCGCCGCTCGCGCGCGTGCCACCGTGTGTACGCGTGGCGGGCGAGGGAGGGCGAGGGACGCGCGTCGTCCGGTCTTCACTGCGCCGCCCGTGAGGCATCAATGGCGCAGGCTGACCGGCGCGGCAACTTTGGCATTGATTCACCGCGGGAAACGAGGCGATGAGGACGACGAAGGGCCGAGAAGAGAGCCGTGTCGGGCCCGCGGCTTTTTCGCGCTAAAACAGTTCGCCCGGCGCCCCCGGCGCCCCCCAGCGCGCCGGGTTCGGGCTGGGTCCGCCGGCGCTGTTTTCGGCCCAAGCCGGTGAAAATCGGGTTCCTGGGACACGACTGGATCGTTTTTTCGGCGCCGGCGCGAAAAAAACGTCTGGGGAAGCCTTTCTGAGGGCGCGACTGGAAATGCTCTTAGCCACGATTCACCGGCCACTAATAACCACCGCTGGTGCCACTCCTCCCCGCGGCCCTCCCCGTGCCCGTCCCGGTGACCCACCAAGGCACGCATTCAATACCGCCACTACGGCCTACGGCAGCTATCAGTCAATGCGCCACCCCAAGCCAAGCCAAGCTCGCCACCCCAGCAAAGGCCACAACCGTCCCCAGACAGGCGCCGGCCCATCACGGCGCCGCGGCTGGGAGTGGAATAAAATGGAGCTGTAGCCAGGATCTGGTTCCATACCATCGCCGCACCGCCACAAAGTGACGAAACTCCCGACGCGGACTCCATCTTCACTCCCCCACACGGGAAGAAGCAGACAAGCCGCGCGTTTCCCCACCGGGAAGCTACTAGTAACCGCGGCAAGCCGAGGAGCCGTAGCCTTCCTCTTCTTATTCTCCTTCGCCCACGGTTTCCTGGCCGGACCACCGGGGACAGCCCAGCAATGGCGAGGGCGAGGCGGGGAGGCGTGGGCTGGAGGGCGGTTCTTGCGGCGGCGCTGTGGCTTCTTCTTGTGGCGGCGGAGGCCGGGAAGTACAACGCGGTGTTCAATTTTGGGGACTCCCTGGTGGACGCCGGCAACCTGGTGACCGAGGGCATCCCGGACTACCTCGCCACGGCGCGGCCGCCCTACGGCCAGTCCTACTTCAGGCACCCCACCGGCCGCTGCTCCGACGGCCGCCTCGTCATCGACTTCATCGGTAATTCGCAGATTGTTGCACTTGAGTCTGGTCTTGGGCGCGTCCTGGGTTCGAGATTTCACTGATTTGGCTTTCCTGGCACCCGCAGCGCAAGAGTTCGGGCTGCCGCTGCTGCCCCCGTCCAAGGCCAAGAACGCCAGCTTCGCGCAGGGCGCCAACTTCGCCATCACCGGCGCCACGGCGCTCGACACCGAGTTCTTCGAGAAGCGGGGCCTCGGAAAGAGCGTCTGGAACTCCGGGTCACTCTTCACCCAAATCCAGTGGCTACGCGACCTCAAGCCCTCCTTTTGTAACTCCACCCAAGGTACAAGAAACAAAACAAATTAGTATTCTTTATATTCACATTCATATTATATTTCCATTTCATTGACATTGATGTCTGATTTTTATCTGAATTGGGTGTTCCTGTTTTCCTGTATCTGAAGAATGCAAGGATTTCTTTGCCAAGTCCCTGTTCGTCGTTGGCGAATTGGGCGGAAATGACTACAACGCGCCACTCTTTGCCGGGAAGGATCTCAGGGAGGCCTACAACTTGATGCCTCATGTCGTTCAGGGCATCTCAGATGGCGTCGAGGTGAACATTTGCGTCTTTGCTGTATTCCAGCATGCTGTGTGCAGCTTTGTTCTAATTCCGTGTGCGTGCTGCAGCAATTGATTGCTGAGGGGGCAAAGGATTTGATTGTGCCTGGAGTGATGCCATCTGGGTGCTTTCCAGTGTACCTGAGCATGTATGTTGATGCTAAAGAGGGGTACGGTCAGCGTAGCGGCTGCCTCAAGCGATTCAACACGTTTTCATGGGTGCACAACGCGATGCTCAAGGGTGCGCTGGAGAAGCTTCGTGCCAAGCACCCTGGCGTGAGGATCGTATATGGGGATTACTTTACACCAGTTATCCAGTTCTTGCTTCAGCCTGAAAAGTTTGGTGAGTTCCAAATTCTTTATTTTGTGCTGTAACTAGGTCGTCACCAACAAATAATTAAATTGTTGATGTGATTGGTTTAGCACTGGAAATCTTATGGAGTCTGATACTATTTTGCTAAATATTTGCTCCGTTAGTTCTAAGTTTGAGATAGAAATTTAACATTTCTTGACATACCTAATTTGACTTAGCTGCCCAGTCAGCTGTCAGACTATGTACTTGTGAGATGCAATAAACGTTACTGATAATTCAGATCTAGGTGTAGGGCTTTTCAGTGTCTTAGACAGTGCCATTTATCTTCTGTGTGTTTAAGATGTGGCATACCATAAGTATACAAAAAAAAATTAACATATGGAATCTTATATCTACATCCAGAATATACTACTATTTGTCAGTGATGCAGAGATCAGGAGTAATCTCCCATTAACTAAAAAATATGCGGTACTATTTACTGCTTATATTTCTATGGAGATTTCACATTGTTTTTTTCTGATATTGGGAAATGGACCTATTACTGTGAGCTCTCATGCCTTAGTTGTGCATGTTTTCATAAGCTGTGGCACAATTCTTGCAGTAAATCCTTGTTTTGTGGATTTCTGTTGCCATACAACATTGGCAGCTAAAAACTTGGCATTGCCATTTACTATTTAAGGTATTGAAACTATATAAGAATTTATATCGTGTATTATTGTTCAGCCCATATAAAATTGTCCACATCATAAGTACAATCATCTCGACGGCTAACTGTGAAGTTTAGATCTGCCTGCAAGAGAAAATCCTTATCTCGTATCGAAAACAAATCTTAAGGAGCTGTAAAGGCGTATCTATAGAACATCAAAGCAATGTACTCCCTCCGTTCCTAAATATTTGTCTTTCTAGAGATTTCAACAAGTGACTACATACGGAGCAAAATGAGTGAATCTACACTCTATATACATCCGTATGTGTAGTCCATTTGAAATCTCTAAAAAGACAAATATTTAGGAACGGAGGGAGTATTAGTGTATCATGCCATATTGAAACAAAAAATTGCGAGTTCTCAAGCAGAAATTACTTCTGCATTAGGATATTGCTAAATTGGGAATTTTATTATGATAATCGTGTAGAGCATCATCTTCCTACCTGGCACTAAGTGTTGCAATGGTAAGATTTCTGAATAACAAACTTATATTCAAGTCCTTACCACTAGGCATAGTGAAATACAAACACCAGAAATTTGCCCAGTTAACTGAACCAATCTTTTGCCCATATATATTTATGTTTATTATTTCTTTTCATACTTATTGTTTATTCGCGTTGTAGAAAAATGAACATGTACTGTACTTTAGGCATCATTCTGAACAAATAGGAAAACAAAGGTTCATACATGTGACACATCTGTGTCAGAGGGAGAATTTTCTTTTCTTGTCGCTTAAGGACATACGAGAGCCATGACCCTGTCATCTCTGTTTCACTGGCACATTAGCAGAATGGCAGTCATTTAATTATTCCGGCATGTTTGTCTTGAGTCTTGACTACTACTCCCTCGTATCACAAATATGAGATGTTCTAACTTTTTTTCTGAATCGGATGTATATAGACACGTTTTAGTGTGTTTGTTCGCTCATTTCAGTGTATGTAGTCCAAGTTGAAATATCCAAAACATCTTATGTTTATGAACAGAGGGAGTACATTGATAAGGGGCAAGAATGTGTTTATAGCTTGTATAAACATGATATACATCTGTTCGCAGAAAGCGACCAAGGAGTTTTTCTGCCAAGCAGGGACCTAACATTTCATCTCTTGATGTAGGATTTCACAAGCAGCCGCCTAGAGCATGCTGCGGCGCTGCCGGGAAGGGTCCTTACAACTTCAATCTGACAGCAAAGTGCGGCGAGCCTGGTGCTACGGCGTGTGCTGATCCGAAGACACATTGGAGCTGGGACGGCATTCACTTGACTGAGGCCGCATATGGGCACATTGCCAAAGGTTGGTTGCATGGCGAATTCGCGGATCAACCTATCATACAGTCTTCCTGAGCATCTGGTCGCTTGGCCTGTTGTGCCTCTAGAGTGTATCAAAATAGCACACCAGATTGTAACTGGTAAGGTATAGCTCCATATAGTAGCATGTATGTATATCTCCATCCATTTTGTTGGGATTCATGACAGCCAGTTAAAGAGAAATGAGATAGGAGGCTGTTAAAGCGTCATTTCTTCATTCATCAGGTGGTATAAGTAACAAAATGTATTGCTTAAAGTGGTTGAATATGATGCATAATATGATCTTCTGTAGCCTCTGACTTGCTGATCAAAATTCACTATGGCTCTTAACTTTGGCTCTTAACTTAAAACTTTTGCCTGAATCTTCGTTCACAAATATAAGATGTTTTAAACCTTTTTGTGAATCGGATGTATATAGACACGTTTTAGTGTGTTTGTTCACTCATTTCAGTCCGTATGTAGTGTATATTGAAATATCTAAAACATCTTATATTTGTGAACTGAGGGAGTACCTCAGTTTATCTTCTTGCATGAAGTGGCCACAGAGATCTCCTTTTGAAGCACTGCAAGATGTCGGCATGGTTCCTGGAGAAGATTCTCAAATATATTGTAAAAAAGTTGCCGGTGACTTGGATAGAGATTCTAGTTCGTGCAGTTAAAAGTTGGATTCTGGAACCAGGATTTGTGTGGTGCCCTCGCTATATTCCATTCCATGATTGCAGCCAGTGGGAGGGCAAGAAGCTTAGGTCCCGGGCTACCGTGGATCCCACTTCCCCCCCTAGTGATTAGAAGTTTCTATTGTGCTAACGACGCCCTGAAATACTGTGGCTGCCTGATTGGTGTTTTACTCCTTGTGTTTTTAGCCTTTTCTTTGTGCGGAATCATGGTAGGACAGCTTAATAAACAACTGGTTTGACCTATGTGTTTTTGAAAATAAAAACAAAAACTGGCTTGCCCGAGAAAACATTAACACACGAGCACGGGGGATCTGGTGAG